TAATACCTCCCCCCCCCCTTTTCCCTTTTTACGTTTCTCATCATCACACCGACACGGTGCAATTATTTAACGTCGCCCATTTTTAAGCCAGGGACAGTTGAAATGATATTTCGTGTGTAATAAATTTGCCTAAAATAGGTCATAAGTCGCAGTTTTGCCCACCCAGTCCGTGAAGCGGCGAACACATGCTGCATGGGGAGGTGGGAACCAACAACGCGATCATCGGGATGGTGGTGCTTTGAAATAAAAACGTAAAAATATTCTGATTTTTCTCCGACGGATTAAATTTTAATTCCTGGTGTTATTCCTCGGATGTTGAAATGAATAAGTTCGTGTGCTTACACTGATATACAACTTGTATTACATAAAATGATGTATGATGCACGTTGTTTAAAACAAGCCGCGATAAGTTGAATTGTCCATAGGACCAGGAACATAGAAAAATAAACTTCCATTATTTCGTTGTTGTGACTTGTTTTCAAGGACTCTCGTTTTTAAATCTGAAAAGGGAAGAAAAAAAAAGGAAAGAGGATTTAAAAAGACAACATTGTTCTACGACTCTGAGTCTGCACCACCGATTCTCAAAGTGTTGTAAGCGTACCTTTGAGCTGTACATGACATTGTAACAAAAAGTCATGAGTGATGCATCGAAAAGTCTAGTAGATATACGTGTAGATATTTTTATAGATAATATGTATGGATATATTTATAGATATAATTATATTAATATTTATAGATATAATTATATATAAATTTTATAGATATATTTATATATAATATTTGTAGATATATTTAAAGATAATATTTATAGATTTATTAATAGATATCCAGTCTGGAAAGGAAATGCGGTGCAGTGGTTCACACATTTTTTTAACAGTAGCTTTTGCCATTCATGAACACTGACAGATTTATTTGATGGGCCGTCATCTGCCGCCCATAATCTCTGGACTTGCAACATACGGTGTTGTTGTTGCTGTTGTTTTTGTTTTTAACCCAAAATTTTAATTCAGGGCCGGCACACGTGGGCCACAAAGTCACGTGATGCGAGGAGTTTGTAACATGGCCTTGCAATGACTCTCGTCAAGTTCACAGTGGTGCTAGCGTTGCTTTCAATCAGGACCGAAGCAGCAGGTGAATCTTTAATTTGTTTTATTTTATTTTTTTTAAATGTTTGTCCCGTGTATTGAACTGATCGCATTCAATCGAAGAAGCTGAATTCTGATTGCCGTCTTTCGTATCCATTTAATGGGCTTTGCCTCTGTGGGCAACTGTCGCATCCGAAACCAACATGGGCACGTATTTAATGATACGAAGTTTCCCCTGACTCCACCGTCGTCCAATCCATCTGGATCGCTTCAATAATCTGGATTACTTCCAAAATCTGGATTACCTCTCCATTATCTGGACCAGGGGTCTCCAAACTGCGGCCGGTGGAGACCTTTTTGTCTATGGAAAAAAATTACGGAAAGGTACGTGTATCCTGCCAAGATCAGACGCAACTTACATGGACGTTATGTCTTTATTGAATTAAAATTGAGGCGTGCAATAATTCGTTATGTTTTCTAACCAATCATTACTTTGCAAAACCTTATTCGCTGCTTAGTTTTTCTACTTATGTTTACAGTCAATGAGATAATATAACGCCATCTAGTGGCGGAGCTTTGCCCGCCATGTTGCAGACATGGGTGAAAACATTGTGACTCAAATAGTGAAAAATGCAAGCAAATTTTGCCAATTTTTAATTGCAATGGATGAATCGCTGGACAGCTGTTCCACCTCTCAACTGCTTGTGTTCGTTAGGGGTGTATGGATGAAGTCATAAACATAACACAAGAGCTGGCTTCCTAAATAGCACGTACGAAACTGTTACCGATGAGTTGAAAAAAATATAACTGATTATAATTTGGACTGGACTAACCTCAGTTGCCTGACTGTTGACGGAGGAAATAACATCAGTGGCATAAAGAAAGGTTTGGTTGGACACGTGAAGCAGATGTGTAATGAGAAAAAAAAACTATGCAACCAATGCTCCTCCACTGTATTATTGACCAGAAAGCTTTGTATGATAAATATGTGGACATTAGCAGTGTACTGAAACCTGTGGTGAAGAGGGTTAATTTAATAAGGTCACATGGGTTCAACCATAGACAGATAAGAGACCTGTTGAAAGATACAAACACAGAATCGAAAACTTACCATATTACACAACAATAAGATGGCTAAGTTGTGAGAAAGTTCCGAGCAGAGTATTTAAGTTAAGAAAGGAAATAGGTGACTTCCTGGAAAGTAAAGAGAAGCCACAGCCATTAGTGTCTGATGAAGAGAGGGTATGGAAATTGGTCTTTGCTGCAGAGATAACTACTAATTTAAATTTTCTGAACCTAAAACTACAACGAAAGGAAAATATAGTTTCTGATCTATACACCCACCTAAAGGCCTTCAGATCCAAATTCGTTTTGTTTTTTTGGAACAAGTACAGGCCAACAACTTGACGCATTTTCAGCAGTGGGCGGTCTTCATGGCTGAAACAACAGCGGAGTTCCACACGTCATTTGTATGCGAGATCATCAAAGACCCCCAGCTGCATTTGTTCAGCAGCGTTTTTCTGACTTGGATTTAAAGGCAGAAGAAGTGAGACTTTTTCAAAACTCATTTGAAGCAGATGTGGTCAGTCGCCCAGATGAACTGGACCTGGATGTCATTGAGTTGCAAGCAAATGACCTCCTTAGGGACAAGTTCAAAGAAGGACTGGTGGGTTTTTACCAGTTTTTGTCCAAGGAAGACTTTTCTAATTTTAAAACTTTTGCATCCAGGTACCTTACAATCTTTGGAACAACATAGCTGTGTAAACAAACATTTTCAAGACCGAAATACGTGGAGAACAATTTGAGAACAAATTTGTCTGATGATAATCTCAGGTCAATGTTGATGCTAGGGACATAAAATCTAAATCCAGAAATGTCTGCTAAGCATTTTGGTATACAGGAAAAAATTGTACCATTCCCACTAATACAGGTGTTCATGTGTCGTGTATCAATGTGTTGTTAAGTAATAACTGAATGAAATAATAATACATAAATAATTAAAAACAACATCCATGTTTTGATTCTTTTTTATTTGGACCTCGAGTGTGTAGTCGGCCCCCGAACCTCGAGTGCGTAGTCGGCCCCCGAAATGCTTCTTGATAGTTAATGCGGCCCTCGGGCTGAAAAGTTTGGAGACCCCCGATCTTGACTACTTCCATAATCCGGACTACTTCCATTAGCTGGATTACTACTATAATCTTGACTACTTCCATAATCTGGATTACTTTCATAATCTGGATTACTTCCATACTCTGGACTACTTCCATAAACTGGATTACTTACATAATGTTTATTACTTCCATAATCTGGATAGCTTCCAAGATCACGATTTTATTTACTACCTAGTTTATTTGGTGCTGATACAGGTGGACCCCAATACGACGCTAGGGTTATCCCGATAACACGACAATGAGAACCCTTTCAGTTTGATCGCCTTAAGATATTGAAGTAAAGCCAAGAATGTTGATTTTTTTCTCCCTAAGGCAGGAGCATCCAATAGGATCAAAAGAAAATGAAGATCATTTTATTTAAAATTAATTTTAACCACATGTATGGATTCTTGGTGGTTAATACTTAGCACCAGTGATTAAATTATACATTTTATGCAAATTAGGTAACCAATATGGCTGACATGATACTTTTAAAAAAAAGACATTTTTTCAACACTCTTAGATTGATTTTTAGCCTTCATTTTTTAGCATAATTGTTCATAACTGAGATGTGGATGGCGTGAAGTATCATTATTCGATCCTATTAATTTTGTGGCATTTCTTTTTAAATTGAGTACCGTACCCCAAAAATGCAATAAGTTGCGATAATAAATAATCTACAAAAGTACAACTACAACATTTATCTTTAGCGTACTGCATTTATTTCACGCCAGACTTGATAATCGGGAATATCCAAAGCAAGTTTCATGCCAATTAAAACAACAAGTCATCATAAATAAAACGACGTCACTTAAACGAAAATAAAGTTTTCCGAAAAACTTCAAAATTTCCTTATTTGAAGGCGGCTGATGTCCTCCAGGGGCGTACATATCCCTATCTCTTGCTTTTGTGTGGGGTATAAAAACCCTGTTGTGACAGCTCTCGGATTTTTTTTTTCCTTTGTTGATTTGTAGGCTTTTACCCCGGTCGAGTTTAAGCGATCTTTGGCCCTTGCCTTAAATTATTTCTCGGTGCCTACTTCAACACAATCATTAAAATATGCCACTGCTTGCTCCAACACAATCATTAAAATATGCCACTGCTTCCTCCTACAAATCATTAAAATATGCCACTGCTCATCCAACACAATCATTAAAATATGCCACTACTTCCTCCTATACAATCATTAAAATATGCCACTGCCTGCTCCAACACAATCATTAAAATATGCCACTGCTCATCCAACACAATCATTAAAATATGCCCCTGCTTCCTCCTACACAATCATTAAAATATGCCACTACTTCCTACTACACAATCATTAAAATATGCCACTGCTCATCCAACACAATCATTAAAATATGCCCCTGCTTCCTCCTACACAATCATTAAAATATGCCACTACTTCCTACTACACAATCATTAAAATATGCCACTGCTCATCCAACACAATCATTAAAATATGCCCCTGCTTCCTCCTACACAATCATTAAAATATGCCCCTGCCTGCTCCAATACAATCATTAATTTTAAAATATGCCACTGCCTGCTCCAACACAATCATTAAAATATGCAACTACTTCCTCCTACACAATCATTAAAATATGCCACTGCTTCCTCCTTTAAAATCATTAAAATATGCCACTGCTTCCTCCTTTAAAATCATTAAAATATGCCACTGCTTCCTCCTTTAAAATCATTAAAATATGCCACTGCTTCCTCCTTTAAAATCATTAAAATATGCCACTGCTTCCTCCTTTAAAATCATTAAAATATGAAACCACTTCTTCAAAAGTTCCATTTTTATTACGTAATACTTTTTTATGGGTGGTAAATGTATTCCAATGTTCCAGGGTGCTATGAGTTTTTCCGCTGACTAATTTATCATCATTCAACATATCCTTTAAAAAAAAAAAAAACAGACTAGGCACGATGAAGCGAATGACTGATTCAGGAAGAGAATTATTTTATTTTTTCATGATTAGATTATTACTCATACAGGCAGCATATGTTGTTTGAGCAGAAATAATGACTGAGTGACTATCTTATTACTCATCCATGCAGCATACGTTGTTTGAGCAGAAATAATGACTGAGTGACTCTCTTATTTTGGTTGATATTAAATATCGAGAATTTTTTATATTTTAATTTTTTTTTTTTTTTAACAAAACGAGTCATTGAAAAAGTTGGATTATTCATGATTTTATGCCACGAAACTTACGTTTTATCAGTTTACAAGCATTAGTTTTGTTTCACGTGTTCTTAAGGAGCTAAAATTCACCGGATTAAGCCTTCTTACTTATTCAGATATCAATCTTTCGAAAAAGTTAACGTGACCTGAGTCAACGTGACCTGAATGAAGAAATTTTTTTTAAAAAATTGTGTGTAAATTAGAAACATTTTAGAGTGATCTCCCCCAGTGATGGATGCACTAGCTTCCTGTAGATTTTAGATAAAAATTATTTTGCGTTTTCTGTAAAGTCAAATATTATATAATTTTTATTTTAGCATTATAATAACCAACCAAGCACCATCAGTGCCTGCTGTGCAAAATTGAAAATGCGCAGTGTATGAAAAAATGAAAAAAAGATATTTCATAGAAATGTATTATATCATAAGTGACATAAAAAAAATAACAGCCCCCATTCTTCTGGGATACTACATATTTTAAATGTTTAATTTGTTTTTACTTTTGTTTGTTCGGTGAGGAAGGCCTCTTGCCGAAACTGTGTTTTTTTTTTTTTTCTTTTTTTTTTTTCCAGATTTTCTATTACTTTTTTCACTTTTTTCCTTTAATTGATTTAGTTGTCAGTTGCAATGGGTTTATAATTTTGCACTTACCTAAGAATGTCAAATTTCACCATTTTAATTTGTTTTTACTTTTGTTTGTTCGGTGAGGAAGGCCTCTTGCCGAAACTGTGTTTTTTTTTTTTTTCTTTTTTTTTTCTTCCAGATTTTCTATTACTTGTTTCACTTATTTCCTTAAATTGATCTAGTTGTCAGATGCAATGGGTTTACAATTATGCACTTACCTAAGAATGTCAAATTTCACCATTTTCTGACAAAAAATTTTGTTGGCTTCCACCTTAAATAGTTTTTCTCCCTGAAAATAGCGGGCAAATGATGTGTGCGTGTCATACGCCGATATAATTTAAGATTTTTTTCCTGAAATTTCCTTCTGAAAATAAGGTGCGTCTTATATGCCGGTGCGTGTTATTCGACGATAAATACGGTATATAAAATTCGATAATGGTTTCAATTTAGATGGCATCTTCACCATCATATATGTTTTCTTCTATATTTGTAATAAATATAAATTTTAAAAAATGTAAAATTCATAATTTGCACATAGATTTTTTTTTAAACTAATAATTTGAATAAATATTTTTTTTAAAACTAGATCTAATAATTTGCATAAAGGTAAAAAAAAAATAAACTAATAATTTTTATAAAAGATATAAGAGTCAAAATTGCTTTTGGTTGATAAAAGCTCGAAACTTCGGCGCTGCCATGTATAGCAGTGAAAAATCGCTACTTGTTTTTGTTCAGTGACGTCAAGCCGAGCACCAGCTACCAGTTTGGCAGACCGCAGTCACGAGCTCCTGGCCAAAACCCTGGCTTCGCATCCGGCGCCTTACGGCTACAGATCCGGGGATCCCAAGATCTCCAACTCTTGTCACCATATCAGGACGGTCCCCATCAGCCTGAGGTGGGGGTGGGTGATGAAACCGTCGGGGCTCTCCAATTACTACCAGAAATACACCGAGACTTATGGGATACCAGTTGTAGGTAGAGATAATCGTTGTTTGGGTTGAATGTGTTATTTATTTGGAATACTGTTAATCCTTTGTTTACGTACACTCGTTATTTCTCCATTACAGGGTACTATTTCAACTTATCACAGTGAATGCATTAGATATTTTATTATTGCTTTCCGCTCTATACAATATATTTAAAATATTCATAATCAAATAAGTCTTTACATTCACAAGTCGCAACGTGATCTACTCCATCCATTGTAAAGAGTCGAATGCGTAGCGAAGACTTGGAGAACTCGTTAGAGAACAACCGCGCATTACATGAAACAAGACCTGTCGGCCCGTTTCTCGACATACCACTAGTGCTAACCATAATGAAATTTTAAACATTGCATTTACCAGTATATTGTATGCGAGCGAGTAATTCATCTGATCGAATATAGATGGACAATAAATTAATTTTTTCAAATTTGATATGCTGACTCCTTACGGTATGAACCAAAATCACAATTTTTACATAGCTGCAAAGTCTTTTTCCTATTTTTTTTTTTAAAAATTGGACTTCCACCCACTTTCTTTCTTTTCGTCTGCTCGTTATTATTGCCAGGGACTTGTGTCCATTCTTATTCTTTTCGTTTCTTTCCTTTTTAAGTAAGGTAAATATATATAATATAACATAATACAATATGTAAAGACACATCTATTTCGCACAAAAATCTAAATAATGTAAAGGATTTTAAAAAATGAACAAACATTGATAGGATTGACTCTGAATCAGTATTTTTATTGGATTCCCCAGGAAGCCAGAACGTGAGCGATGGCGCCCTGAGCAGGGCGTGCTACGTGTTGCGGGTGCTGTTGGCCGACCACTCCGCCATTCGCCAGTCTTTCTACAAACTGTTCGGCCGGGTCGCGGTGATCGGGTCGGGGGAGCGCGTCACCGCCGTGCCGGAGTACAGGTTTCTGCCGGACCACTGGAACGAGAGGTCGCGTGGTCTGGGCGCCACGGAGTCCGTGCCCGTGTCATCGGGGGCGGAAGAAAATCTCTTATGTTATCGGTAAGTGGGGTGATGACAGTGTGGGTTCTGGAATTCACGCCAATGACAAAAATGTCTGGAGGAAACACACACAGACACACACACTCACACACACACACACTCACTCACACACTTACATATACAAACTCTCCCGACCGACCCTCCAAAAAATAATTAATTAAAATTTTTAAAAAACCCAACACCAAAAAACATACCGACACACACCTACACACGGCCTCCCTACCCACACACACAAACACACACACAACTGCCACAAGCCTTGTTAGAATTGTTTGGATGGTAGCAAAAATCGAGCTGCTGGTGTTGACAGAGCTCAATCATTTTGACTGCAGGACTACCCACGCGTGAAAAACAATTTAATGGTATAAATTAGCATTACGCGACATTTAATAACTGATACAGATCGCTAGATCAATTTTAAAACACAAATTTCAATAAAATGTCCGTGCTTGAAACCATAAAAGAACAGTTTCCCTGTTCAAAGATTTATAAAAATTCGGCACTCTTAAACTTTAACACAAAAAAAAATACATTATTATTTTAAAATTTATAAAAATTAAAGTCTAAAAGTGTTATTAAAACATCGAACATAACATATTGGGTGAAAGCGATTAATTTCTTTTAAAAGAAAATGAATATTATTTTAAAAATCTCCCTTTGATAGTTTATTGCGTGCAAAGTAATTAACTCTCTAGCCTGCTGTTCTATCCCATTCCTCTTGCCGTCCTACTCTCGGATTAGTGCTACATGGCAGCTAAGAGTTAATTATTCCTTTGTTTTAAATATTGCTTCACTGTAGTTTGTTCGCAGAAGAAGGCTTCTTGTCGACACGTTCGTTGTTTTTTTGTTTGTTTGTTGATGTTTTTTTTTTAACTTTTATTTTTTTTTAATTTAAAGGTTTTCCCATACTTTGTTTCGTATATTTCCAAATACTTTATTGAGCTTCACTTCATCATAACAGAAACAGTAAAACATGATTATGGGAAAGCTTAAAAGAAAAAAAAACACACACAAAAGAACAACAACAGAACAATCGATTGAACGTTTCGGCTGGAAGCCGTCGTCGTTAGACAACACAACATTGCATCAAACCACCCCAATAACCTTCACACGTGACGGCTCGAACGCAGTCTCTCATGTATCATCTCAATCGTAGCATGAGTTCTCAGTCTGAATGACTGCATCCGTTATCATGGCAGAAGTTTACTCATAAGGTTACGCCTAGGTTGACGCGTAAAGTTACACATAAGGTGTCATTTTGTGGACAAAGAATGACAGCAACTAGCCCCATTGCGTGTTTCTCATTCACCAATCCATTCATCTATCAAACCTTATTGTTTTGTTCCTGGTATTTTAATTTTTTTTAATGATGACAACTTTCGATAAATTAGGAACGGCAGTGACCGCTACGCCAAAGAGGACATCTTCCTCCACGAGCTGGCTCACGGCGTGCATCTTCTCGGCGCCAAGTACGCGATCCCCGGGTGGCAACGAGATCTCGAACGCGCGTATGAGAGCGTCAACAAGACGGGGTTATGGAACGATACGTACAGCAGGCAGTCGGCGGAGGAATATCTGGTGAGTGGGTGTCAAATGGCAAAAGGATTCTCAAAATGTTTTGTGAATGTTGGCATCATCATGTTGTACCATGTAAATAGTCATGCAAATTAAAATACGTTACAAAAAAAATAAAGGAACATTTGTAAGTCTAGCACTTTTTTGGAATGGGGGGTGTGGATGGTGGAGGTGGGGGGCCATCCGTTCATCTGGCACAGTATATTTAAAGGTATTTTAAAAACCTTTTTTTGTTACACCGTTGTGTACCCCCTGAAACTATGTTTGAGATTCGCTGATAGGGTTGTGAGAAGCGTTTGTGTTGTAAGATGCGTAGAGTATTTAACAAATCGTGTTTTAATACTGTCCAGACAACGAATAAATGAGAACCCGTTTTCGATTTTAAAAAATTCACATATTTTGGGTATCGACACTAGATAACATAATCTAAGTAAAGATTATGAAGTATGAAAGATGAACAAATTCAAAAGTCTAATTTATTTATAAGACGCATTTTAGCTGGGGCGTCATTTCAGGTTTTTTCACACAAAAAAAAGGGGGGGGGGGCAAAACATACACTTGGTCGCCTTGTTAAAGATGTTTTTTACTGGAGGCGCCACAGTAAATAGCAATTAAAATAAAACCTGCACATTCGGGGGGGGGGGGGGGGGGGGAAGGGGGGGGCATTTCCCCACCTTCCCCTAAACAAA